CTACTACTACTACTACTACTACTACTACTACTACTACTACTACTACTACTACTACTACGACTACTACTACTACTACTACTACTACTACGACAGCCGCAGACGCAGCAGCAGCAACAGCATCTAAACAACAGCAACAACAACAACAACAACCACAACAACAACAACAACAACCACAAAAACCATCAGCTTATGACTGTTCGCTCATATCTGCTCACGTGCCACTCAACACGTATATCCCAAGCCCTCAGTACCCGCCTTCTTCGTCTTCGATCGTACCCCCTTGGGGGTATATCTGTCTTACCTGCCTCGTGCATGCAGCGCAGTTCAGACAGGGGAAGAGAGGACGAGGGAAGGGGGAGGGAAAAGGGTGGAGCACGAGAGAAATTAACAGGAGGGGGGCTAGAAGAAAAGAACACGTGGTAGAACCAGACGAGCAAATCGGGCCGGCAGACCCTAGCGGGCGAGACGGAAGGCGGGCCCAGGCGGCCAGGTCGAGCAGACGGGTTGCTGAAGCGTGAGCCCTGTATGAATCGCGAGGAAGTCTCACGCGAAAGCGCGATTCACAACTAAATCATTAGAAAAGCTAGAGCGTATTCCTGAGTGTCGAGGGCGCGGCGTCTGAATAAATTGCGAGGAAGTCTCACGCGAGAGTGCGATTCCTGTGTAAGTTGTGAGGATGTCCCGCGCGAGAGCGCGAGGTTCAAATCTATTAGGCGGGAGCCGCTGTTGTTGTAAACAGGGGGCCAGGTGACCAGTTTGGTGACACCTCACCTTCTCTCACCTTCCCTTGTAAAAAAACAGGGTGCACTTGAATTCAAAAAGACAATGGTTACGGCGCAGGGGTCTGTAGAAATGAAGATTCAACAACAACAACAACAACAACAACAAACATAAAAACAACAACAACAACAACAACAACAACAACAACAACAACAACAACAACAAGAACAGCAACAACAACAACAACAACAACAACAACAACAACAGCAACAACAGCAATAACAATCATTTTAAGACTGTCCGCTCTTACTGGCACGCGTGTCTTGCATCCCGTATACCCCAACCCTCGATACCCGCCCATTTCGTCTTCGATTGCACCTCCTTTCGGGGGGAATCTCTTCCATGTCGGCCACTGACTGAAGTGCGAAAAAGTCTCGAGCGAGAGCGCCGTTCCTGAGTTCGGGGGCCTCTCTGGTCAGGGGCTCTCGGAATACCTGTGGAGAAATATCGAACGGGAGCCCTTGTCGCTGTGTCCGGGCCTCCACCAACTTGCCTGAATTACGGAAATCGAGCGACAGCGCCGTTCCTGAGTTCGGGGGCCTTCTTGGTAAATCGTGCGGAAGTGTCGAACAGGAGCCCTTGTCGTCGTGGCTGGACCTCCGCCAACTTAATTGAATTGCGAGGAAGTCTCGAGCGAGAGCGCCGCTCCTGAGTTTGGGGGCCTCTCTGGCCAGGGTGTCTCGGGGTAAATTGTGAGGAAGTAACGAGCGGGAGCCGTTGTTGTCGTAGCTGGGCCTCCAAGGGCGCACATTTAGGATCAAGCCAACGCTCGAGCGGGAGCCTAGTTTTAGGAGAACATGTAGCCGGCGTCGAGGCGAGAGCGCGCGGAACCGTTCCCGGAGATCAACCGTACTTATTCGTTAGATATGATCATTCAACAACAACAACAACAACAACAACAACAACAACAACAACAACAACAACAACAACAACAACAACAACAACGACAACGACAACGACAACGACAACGACAACGACAACGACAACGACAACGACAACGACAACGACAACGACAACGACAACGACAACGACACCGACAACGACAAAAACAAAAACAAAAACAAAAACAAACAAAAATCATTTTAAGACTGTTCGCTCTTACTGGCACGCGATGTTTTAATTCTGCATACCGGAACCCTCGGTACCCGCCCACTTAGTCTTCGATCGCACCCCCTTTCGGGGGGAATATCTTCCTTGTCGTGACTGAAGTGCGAGGATGTCTCGAGCGAGAGCGCCGCTCCTGAGTTCGGGGGCCTCTCTGGCCAAGCAAGGGGCTCTCGGAATACAGATTGAGAAACATCGAACGGGAACCCTTGTCGCTGTGTCTGGGCTTCCACCAACTTGCCTGAATTACCAAGAAAAACTCCAGCGAGAGCACCACTCTTGAGTTTGGAGGCCTCTCTGGCAAGGGCCTCTGCGAATACATCTTGAGGAAGTTTCGAACGAGAGCCCTTGTCGGCGTAGTTGGGCATCCACCAATTTGACTGAATCACGAGAAGTCTCGAGCGAGACCCCCGTTCCTGAGTTCGGGGGCCTTCCTGGCCAGGGGCTCTCGGAGTAAATCGTGAGGAAGTATCGAAGAGGAGCCTTTGTCGTCGTGGCTGGGCCTCCGCCAACTTGACTGAATTGCGAGGAAGTCTCGAGTGAAAGCGCCGTTCAAGAGTTCGGGGGCCTCTCTGGCCAGGGTGTCTCGGGGTAAATTGGGAGGAAGTATCGAGCGGGAGCCGTTGTCGTCGTAGCCGGGCCTCCAAGGGCCCACTCTTACACTCAAGCCAACGCTCGAGCGGGAGCTTCGTCATCAAAGAAAATGTGCCCAGCGTCGAGGCGAGAGCGCGCGGAAACATTTCCGATGAGCAACCATAATTATTTCTAGACACGAGTATCCAACAACAACAACAGCAAAACAAAAACAACAAACAACAAAAAACGAATACACAAACACACACACACACACACACACACACACACACACACACAACAACAACAACAACAACAACAACAACAACAACAACAACAACAACAACAACAACAACAACAACAACAACAACACTTACTAGCACGTGGGGACACTCCGTTCTCACCAGCGCCAGGGTTTTCATGAGGCGGGCAATACCCCCACTTTGTGGGGGGGCCGGTTCAAGCTCTACCAAATTTCCAAACGACTCTTCGCCACCACCCACACCCAGCTTCCCGCCCTATGACGTTCGGACACTTCACTTCGTGGCATGCGGACGACCGTGGCTACTATTCAGGGCCCCGCGGCCGACGACGACGGCGTGCGCGCGCGAAGAAAAAACGAATGTGTCCCGCATGGTATTATTTGACAGGGATGATGGCCCTGGCAGGTGCGCAACCGTTGTTGCAGAAGTTCGAAAAAGTTGCTCGCAAAAGCCCGTTTGACAGAAATGTTTAAAAAGTGTTGGGTTTCCTACGAATCCGCAAGAGCGCGCGGGATGAAATTTTGACATTTTTTTTTTGAAAAACCATTGGTTTTTTGATGTTTTTATGTTAAAATCGCTACGAAAACTAAGGTTTTGGAAGGATTTCGTCTTGCGCGCGCGAATGTCCACTTTACCTTATTTTTTGCAAGGGATTCTTGAAGTTTGGTTATGTTAGAACAAGAAATGTCCACTTTAGCTTATTTTTTGCAAGGGAAAGCGGGGGGGAACAAAACAACCGGATCCGGACCAACCCGTTTTGCCTGAGACTTCCTCACGAAATTGATGAAAATGTGGCTGCGGCCTAGGCGCGGCGGGGGGGCCGTGCACCAGGGGTCCCAACAATAATTATTCTTTAGAAGTAATAATGTTCAACAACAAAAGACAAACAAACAAAAAACACAGACTGTTCGCTCTTACCTGTTCGCGTGCCATTCCACACGTACATCCCAAACCCGCGATACCCCCTACGGCAGGGGAAAAGAGGACGGACGAAAGAAAGGGACAAGGGGCAGGCGGGTTGCTGAAGCGTGCGTCCTGCATGAATCGCGAAAAGTCTCACGCGAAAGCGCGATGTCCAAATAAATCGTCAGGCAATCCACAGCAAGAGCGTGGTTCCTGAGTGTCGAAGGCAGGCGTCCGAATAAATTGCGAGGAAGTCCCACGCGAGAGCGCGCCTTCTGTATAACTTGTGAGGAAGTCCCGCGCGAGAGCGCGATTTGGAAATACATCGCGAGGAAGTATCAGGCGAGAGCTGCTGTTGTTGTAAACCGGGGGCCAGGGGCACAGGTTGGTGACACCTCACTTTCCCTTGTAAAAAATAAGATGCGAGCCCCGGGAGAGGCACGTCAATTGAAAAATACAATGGTTACCAGGCAGGGGACCCACAATAATCATTCATTACAAATGAAGAAACAGCAGCAGCAGCAGCAGCAACAAAACACAAACACCTAAATAAACAAACCAACAAACAAACAAACAACAACGCAACTGAAAACGGAACACCAGGAACAAAAACACCTTTACAAACACCAGTTGTATGCGGGGGCGTCGGGTGAGAAAGTGGGGGGGGCGTCGGGTGACAAAGTCGTGCAATAGTTGTTGCTGGTGTTGTTTGTGTTTGTGAGCCGTCGGTCTTTGGTTTCTGTGGTGCGCTTGGTGTCCTATTGTCTTTTGTAAGTTGCTCAGTTCCCATCTTCCTCGCCTGGAGGGGATGAGGATAAGGACGACGTGGGCGAGGAGGACCAGCCTCCCACGCCTGGAAAGAGGAGGTGAACAAAGGCTGACGAGGAGAGGAGGAGGAGGAGGAGAAGAAGGAGGAGTTCGGAGCGACGAGGAGCATGAGGAGGAGGAGGAGGAGCATGAGGAGGAAGGGAGGAGGACCGAGCATGGAGGAAGGCGAAAAACTCCCCACACTCATCCAGTCTGGCGCTGGGCGAGACGGTGGGGTGGAGCGGGGACAAGCAGAGGAGGAGGAGGAGGAGGAGGAGGTAGGAGGAGGGGGGAGGAGAGGCCGAGGGAGGAGGTAGATTCGTCCCTGCTTGGGACCACTGGGAGATTGTTGGGCCTCTTGGGCGACATTCGGGGCGCACGGGGGTCATCCTGGAGCCTTTTGAGGGTACCTTGAGCCTCTGGGGGGCGTGCTGGGACTCTTGGGACCAGACTGGGCCTTTCGTGGGACCATCTTGGGGCCTCTCGGGTGTATCGTCGATCCTCTGGAGGTCCCCTTTGGGCCATCTTGGGCGATGCTAGATCCATTGAGTATCCTGGGACAACGCTTGCCGGACTCCCCGGCTCCACGCCCTTGTTTCTGACGAATTCCACCAGCTGCTTGATCACTCTGTCCCCCTGCGCCTCGCGCAGAGAATCCACTGGCATGTGCAGCACGAGGACCTCCGCCACGACGCAACGAGAAGGAAGAATGAGGACGAAGAAAGCGTGAGTTCCCCAGCCTGCATTCATCAGCATGCATGATGATCATCATCATCATCATCATCATCATCATCATCATCATCATCATCATCATCATCATCATCGTCATCATCATCATCAGCATCATCATCATCATCATCATCACCGCCACCACCACCAACACCATCATGAGCAGCAGCATCAGCGTCAGCATCATCATCATCATCATCATCATCATCGTCATCATCATCATCATCATCATCATCATCATCATCATCATCATCATCGTCATCACCATCAGTACCATCTCACCTCAACCCCCTCATTGGCATCATAATCCTCATCATCATCGTAGTCGTCGTCATCATCAACACCACCATCATTAACAACATCATCGCCGTCGTCGTCCTCGTCGTAGTCGTCCTCATCATGACCACCACTGTCAGTGTCATCATCAAGAACAGCATCGTCATCATCAGCAGCATCATCAGCCTCAGCATTATCATCAGCATCATCATCATCATCATCATCATCAGCATCATCATCGTCATCATCATCCTCATCATCATCATCATCATCGCCGTCGTCGTCATCGCCTTCAGCATCATCAGCAGAATCACCAGCAGCACCATCATCATCATCGGCATCAGCATCATCATCAGCATCATCAGCATCATCAGCAGCGTAATCATCGTCGTAATTATCATTACCATCAGCATCAGAATCATCATCGTCGTCTTCTTTTTGATCATCACCAGCAGCATCAGCATCAGCATCATCATCGTCATCGTCGTCGTCGCCGTCGTCGTCGCCGTCGCCGTCGTCGTCGTCGACATCGTCATCATCATCAGCAGCAGCAGCATCACCATCATCGGCATCGTCGTCCTCTTCAGGATCGAAACCGCAATCGCAATCTTCTTCTTGTTCATCATCATCATCATCATCATCATCATCATCAGCAGCATCATCAGCAGCAGCATCATTATCAGCGGCATCATCATCGTCATCGGCATCGTCACCACCTCCGTCATCATCATCACCACGATATAAGAAAACGCAGCCGCACGAGCCGTCATCATGAGCATGATCATCAGCAGCAGTAGCAGTAGCATCAACATCTACACCAGCATAATAAATAGTATCGTCGTAAGCATAACCGTCGTCATCATCGTCAGCAGCAGCAGCATCATCATCAGCATCATCAGCATCATCATCACCATCATAATCATCATCATCATCATCATCATCATCATCAGCAGCAGCAGCAGCAGCAGCAGCAGCATCGTCATCGTCATCGTCATCGTCAAAATCATCACCACTACCACCACCACCACTACCAGCAGAATCATCATCAGCATCAGCAGCATAATAATCATCAATCATCACTATTATCGCAAGTTCAATCGCAAACCACATCATCACAATCGTCTGAATCATCATCATCATCATCATCAGCACCACCACCACCACCGCCATCCCCTGCTCCTCTTCATCGTCAGCATCATCATGATCAGCATCATCATCATAATCAGCATCCTCATCATCATCATCATCATCATCAGCAGCAGCAGCATCAGCATCAGCATCAGCATCAGCATCATCATCATCTGCATCAGCATCCTCATCCTCATCCTCATCCTACTCATCCTCCTCGTTCTCCCTACACCTTATCATCATCCTCCTCCTCCTCTCCCCTTCTCCTCCTCCTCCTCCTCTTCCTCCTCCTTACCCTCCTGGTGTTCCTTGTGCTCCTCCCTCTTCCCCACCCTGTATCCAGCTCCCCCTGCCCCCACCCTCCCCCTTGCTCCATCCTCCCACCCTTCCGCCCTCCTCCCCCCCGCCCTCCCCAATCATAACCCTTTCTCCTTCTCCTCCCTCTCCACGCTACCTTTCCTACCCCTCCCAGATGACCTCTGGATTGGCGATGAGCGCCCGAGCCACCTGGATCCTGATCCTGGTGGTCAGTGACAGGCCCTTCAATTTCGTGCCCGTGTGCGCATCGTGCTTCTCCACCGACTCGACAATCTTCGGCATCATGTCCAGGGCCTTGCAGACCCTGACCCCGCGGTCGCGTTCCTCCTGGCGCAGGAGGGAGAGGATCGGGTCGGACGAAACTGGGGGAACCAAAAGGCACCGATCCCGCTACTCCCTGGACCTCTCTTGGGGTGCGCTCTGACCAGAATTTCGAGGCGAATCCAGCGGTGGCGACGAGATCCTCCCAGGAGGCCCAAAAAGAGGAAACCGAGGGAAGGGTAGAGGCATGGGTACCTTTGTTACTTTTTATCTTGCGCGTGGGCCAACGTCAAGCACTGGCTCCGAGGCATGGGTACCTTGTCCCCCTCCGGGAAACAGGGGCAGGGTAGTGAATGGGGAGGGGTCAGCGACTCAGCCCACGGGAGAGCTGACCTCCCCAGCGCCTCCTGGCACCCAAAAGGCGCCCGGGAGTCGAGGCAACGGAGTGGCGGTGGGGCAGAAACAAAAAAAAAGAAAAAACAAAAAAAAAAAAAAAAAAAAAAAAAACTGCACGCGGCAGATTCCAGGGCTCGACCTGAGCGGTGTGTCCGTACTCGTTCTGTTCTCGCTCTCCCTCCCCGAAATCGAAACGAAACGAGACCGAGACGAAAACGAAACGAAAACGAAATGGAAGCGAAATTGAAGCTCTTGCTGCGGAACGAAGTCGAAACGAGAACTGAATCAGAACACCGCTCAGGTCGAGCACCGCTGGCAGATCTCGCGACCCCCCCCCCCCCGCTCGTCCGACCCGAGAGGAGGAAGAGGAAGCGCAGGCGCAGCGCGGCCCGAAGAGCGCAGAAGGCATCCATTACACCGCCACCCTTGCTGGCCAGGACCACCCTGGGCCCTGGCGTGGTGCACACGCCTCCTGGCCGAGGCCAGCAGGGTCTGGACACCGTCGCGGAGCCCAGGGCGGCCCCGGCTGGGCACGGTGGTGGTGTGCACAGCTGGCACCGGAGGAATCGAGGCGCCGCTCAGGGCGAGCACCCTGGCAGATCTCGGCACCCCCCCCCCCCCCGCTCGTCCGACCCCGGAGAGGAGGGCGAGGCAGCGCAGGCGCGGGGCCGGCGGCGGAGCCCCCCCGGCGTGCCCCCTCCCAGGAAACAAGCTGGGGCCAGGGGGCGAGGGGGCGAGGGCCGCCGCTCGGCGGCCAGCCCGGGGGGAGGGAAAGCAAGCAGCAGAAGAAAAAACTGCACCAACACATAAACGTTCGGCGCTCCGCGCGGCTTCAATGGATCCGCGACGGGCCCCTCGGGCGCCGCCCCTGGGTCAAGCGCGGATCCAAGCAATCCGCGCGGAGCACGGGGTCGAGGGAGGAGGTGGCGGTGCAGGTCTTGGGGCCCCGTAGACGCCGGCGGCGCGCCCCGAGGGCCTTCTCGGATGGCTCACGGGATGCCTCGGCGGCGCGCCCCGAGGGCCGCCGGCGCGCCCCGAGGCACAGACGGGGGCGGGCCTCCTCGGATGGCGCCGAAGGCCTCCGGCCCTCGGAGGAGCCCCGCCGCCTTCTGGCAGGGGCCTTCTGCCTCCCGCGTCCCCACGCGGCGCGCCGCCGAACAGGGTCGAGGAGGAGGAGGAGGAGGAGGAGGAGGACGAGGAGGAGGAGGAGGAGGAGGAGGAGGAGGAGGAGGAGGAGGGAGGAGGAGGGGGGGGCGAGAGAGGGAAGGTGCAGAGAAGGGGGGCGGAGGAGGAGGAGGAGGAGGAGGAGGAGGAGGAGGAGGAGGAGGAGGAGGAGGAGGCGCTGAGAGGCTGCCAGGGGAGGGGCCGGAGGGTGGCGCGGGTGGACTCACGAAGGCAGCGGCGACACCCTGGAGCACTCACAGGCTCTCAGCCCAGGAGGCCGCGGCAGTGGTGCTGCCATGACGAGGCGCCGGACAAGAGACGAGGGGTGCTCTTCTGGCCACGGCGAGCCTCGGCCACGCCTAGGGTCCCCCATCTGGACCGAAGGAACGGCCCCGAAGCCAGAGCCCCCCCGATGCGTCCAGAATGGTCCGCATTCCAGCGCCCGGGCTGCACGTGCAAGAGAACCCTGGCGGGGCCGCCTCTGGGGGAGGGGGCAGACGGGGCAGGCCGCCTTCACAGAAGTCCTCCGAGGCTTCCGCTGGGGCTTCCGGGCCGTCTCCAGAGCTGCTTGGGGGGCCTCCTGGGCAGGCCCGCCCCCCCCTCTGCCTGTGGCAAGTCACGAGAGCCTCCCATACCATCTCGTTGGCTCTGGTGGATCGGCCCTAGTCATCGACGCCCATCGACGCTGGATCGATGCTGGTCGACGCTGGCCGACGCTGAATCGGCGCGACCTCATCAGTTAACAGACGCTGATCGACGCCAATGCATTCTAAAGATGGAGCTACGAAGTTATACAGGACTCCCATGATTTGCTACCAGACCCTTTCACTTCCCACCTCGGCGCGCCGCCGATATCCACGCAGAGGCAGCGGCGCTCTGCGAAGCACTCAAGGTTCACTCACCTGCGCGCTTCCCACTTCGAGGAACTGCTGGAGGGAGCACGCCCAGTTCTTTGGACGCAAGGCCGAGCATCGCATCACAGCAAACTCAAATCTGCGTGGAGGCGGGGGCGGTGGCAGTGGAGAAGATCGGAGAAGTTGCAGCGGTGAACCAGCATACGGAGGCTTTGGAGGCATTGCATTGCACTCCTCCTATGTTCAAGGGCGTCCTGAGTCATTCAAGGACCTCACAGTCGTAAGGTCGGCCAGAGCAAGTGCAAGAAAATGGCATACGTTGTGCAGCGGTGCTGGCGGATACGGATTGGACTCACGGCCTTGCCAATAAGGCAACAACCTCAAGTGGTAGATAAAACGAGCGGGCCATCTCCCACCGTTCAACACCACCCTCCCCGGCAGAAGAGAGCAGGAGCCGTCGCAGGCCCTTCAGGCCTGCAGCAGCCGATCGCCCCCGTGCACATCATGCCGTCACCAACGAGGTCAACCGCGCGCGGCCGCCGCCCTGGAGAAGGGCGCCGTCGCGGCTCCGGCCGCGAGGCGCGACTCGCTCCGCGCCAACGCGGTGGCGCGGGCCTGCGGCACGTCCTGGGTCGCTCTGTCGGGGTCGCTCAACGTTGCCACCACGCCGGGGCAGCCCCGTTGCGAGATCGGTCCGCCGTCTCCGGCGCGTCGGCTCGTGCTTCGCTGGTCGGCAGCGGTGTGTGAGCGGGGGCCGAGCTGCGGTGTCGAAAGGGCGGAGGGGCCCTCTTGGATCGGCTTCGTTGCAGCAGGATCCTGGCCCTGCCTCGCAGCGGGCGTCCCCTTGTCCTGCCCCCCCTCTCGTTGCTGCCCTTGTTCGCCTTGCGGCTGCGGCAGGGGGTGCCGAGCTGCTTCGTTCCTTGAGCGTAGTGGGCCAGATTACATCGGCTCTGGCCTTGGTGACCGCGCAGGGCGGGGAGGAGGGAAAAGGGCGGAGGTGTGCTCCTTGCTCAGCTCTTCCACCTTCGTGAGGCCCTTGGACGCCAGGAGCGCGAAGAACACGTTGAAGGCGACGGAGCCCTCGTAGAGGTTCTCCTGGGGGGTGTCATCCTCCTCATCCTCCCCCCCAACTCTCGTCCTCCCTCATCCCCCCTCCCCCTCGTCCTCGTCCTCGTCCTCGTCCTCCTACTGCTGCTGCTGCTGCTGCTGCTGCTGCTGCTGCTGCTGCTGCAGCTGCTGCTGCTGCTGCTGCTGCTGCTGCTGCTGCTGCTGCTGCTGCTGCTGCTGCTGCTGCTGCTGCTGCTGCTCCTTGTCCTCTTTGGGCACCTGCCTGGTGTATCCGATACTTGGGGGGAGATCGAAGTGACACGGAATGCCCTCCCCCCGAGAAATCGGTTTGGGTTGCGTGCCGGTTGCGCGGACGAGCCGAAGCTAGTTGTGCGGACTAAGTTCGACAAAAGAGCTCATTAATATCCCAAGACGGAACCCAGCGTTTGTCCAGTGTGGTTGGCCCGTTCGAGCACCCTCGCCCGTGTCTTGCAGTGGCTAGATATCTCAATGGGCCAAAGCAGACACTGGTACAGCTGGATATTCCACTGGTGGTGGTGTGTATATATATATACACACACACATCGGCAGCCACGTATGTAGATAGACTGCTTGGGTGCTCGTTGGACCTCAACGTATGAACGCATACAGCTTGTACAAGTCTATCCTCAGTAGTTTCATGGCACGACTGTGAGATGTGCTGCTAGCTCTGCCCATCCCCAAACACGTACAGCCACAAACGCACAGTGTCATGTCAACCTGCTAATAACCGTTGTATAAGCACATGTGTGCAGCTACGCATGCTTCCAGCATGCACACATCGCCAGTTAGTTCGCTGAGTATGATGTGTATACAACTGTCTATAGCACGAACCCCGTCAAGATTTCGACATGCAATGTTGGGGCCAGTCTTCAAGGGCCCCAGGCGCCAGAATTCCAGGCAGGCCCAGGCGCCTCAAGGCTCTCTCGGGTGATCCCCGCGCGACGTTTCCAGAGGCCTCGAGAGCGCGGCTGGGACTCCACACTTCGAGCATGGCCTACGATGGTCCCAGGGCTCGCCCTGGAAGCCCTCTTTCTTTTTTCTCTGCCTACGTGCCAAGCCCCACGAGCAAGTGACAAGAAGACGATGCTACAACGCTAGACCGGAAACTGATATGCCAAAGTGGGAGGAGGCAAGAGGAAGGAGGGGAAGGGAAGAGAAAGTCGACCTGCATACGGACAGGAACGCCTCTAAGCCTTCGTCGAGCGCCATTGATTCAGCCTCGAAGGCGCTGCGACAGCTGCGCCCACTTGGGCGCCTCTTGGCTCGTCTTAGAGGCTCTTAAAGGCTGGCCCAGGAGGCCAAGATCATGAGAAAGAGCAAGTCTATCTCTATGATTTACACATCGTCGCCTTTTCTGTCTTAAAAGCAAGCAGGACGGCCCCACAGGCTCCAAAGATAGCCCCAAGAGGGCCCCCGAGGCCCCAAGGGGGCCCAGGAGGCCTCCAAGCCAGCCCGAGGAGAGGCCCAAGAGGGAGGACCCGAACTAGCATGTCGATTTTTTCGCCCCAAGAGGCCCCCAAGAGGTTGCCAGAGGATCTCAACACGCCAAGATGCCACCAAGAGGCCCCGAGAGGCGTCCAGGTGGCCACGGAACCTCACAGGGAGGCCCCAAGGAGGCCAAAAATCCATTGAAAACCTGGGAACCCCAGGTGACCTCGTAGCCGCCCAGGTCCAGGGCGGGCGAGGCGCTCGTGGCCAACGCCTGTCTCCACAGTCCTCGCTGGCTGGACTGCAGGGGGATGGCAGCCCTAACAGGGGCAGGGAGAGCGTCGCCTGCGCCCCCCGTGCGTGCTTCCCCCCCCCCTGTTCCTCCCGTGTCGTCCCCCTCCGCGTTTCTCCCTCGCCTCCTGGGGTAGCCCCCCCCCTTCGGCTACCGGCCCTGCCTCCCTGCTTGGGGGGGGGGCAGGGCTGGGAACGGCTTCAGGGTAACCCCAAATCAGCCGTGAGCAACAGCAGCAGCCTGCGCCCTCCACAGCCGGAGCGCGCGTGCGTTGCTGAGTGGTCACACCATCGCATGAAGCTGTGGCGATGGGGCAGTGGACGTCCCAGTTCACCTCTTGTGGCCCGTTGCCCACTCCTGCCACATACAAAACAATCTCGCAGGAGGCTGCAAAAAGGGAAAAGAGGAAGGAATCCGCCGACCCTGTCGGCGTGTGTGAGGGGCTTGTCCGTTCAAGTCGTCATCTCCGTCATTCGTTGGTCGTCGTCTCTGTCAGCCCCTTTCTCTGCCTCCCCCCTTTCCCTGGGCTCGTCGAAGCTCCCCCCTTTCCCAGGGACCTCCTCCTCAGCGCGCCAGACAAAGCAAAGTTGAGCAACGTCGTAATTGAGTCGAAGGGGAACCCCTTCCCTTCGATCCCTCCCCCGCCGGGGGGGGGGATGGGGGGCCCAGGGGGGGGGTCAGATACTACGCCCCCCCTGGGAGTCCCGGGGACCAAAAAAGCCCCAAGACGGGCCAAGAGTGCCCCAAGAGGCCCAAAAGACAGTCCAAGAGAACCCCGAATCGCCGAACGATCTGTCCAAGACGCCTTGACGGCCTCCAGACGGCCCAAGAGGCCTGCAAAGCGCCCCAAGAGGCCTTTAGTAGCTTTCCCACGAGAGCTCCAAGAGGCAAAATCCCACCAGCCCTTTGGGCGTGAGTGGTTTAGAGAGCCCGCTCTGTCCTCAACCCCCCTTCTTCCCCTTCGGGGAGGGGTTTACCCCTCCCCCTACCCCCTCCCCCTGGACCTGGAGAGGGAGTCCCGAGCGTCGTCAGGGGAGTTTTTTTCGACGCCTGGGAGGGCCAAAAAACGACGACCCTCACGAGGATTCTGGCCCCGAGGGGGGGGAGGCAGTTTGGCGCCTCAGCTCGTCGTTGAAGCAAAAACCATTGATTTTACTACGGTTTTGGCTCCATTTTGGCCTTCTGAGGGGGCCGCGTTCCTCTTCCTTCTTAGCAAAATCATTGATTTTGCGAAGGTTTGGGGCTCATTTTGTCTTTCTCAGGGGTCAGCGCTTATTTGCGCTTCTGAGGAGGTCGCAAGAGGCCCCAAGATAGCCCCAAGAGGCCCCCAGGAGTCTCCCAAGAGGCCTCCAGGAGGCCCCCTAGAGGCCCCCAAGAGGCCCCAAGAGGTCCCCAAGAGGCTCCCAAGAGGCCCCCAAGAGGCCCCAAGAGGCTCCAAGAGGCCCCCAAGACGCCCCCAAGAGGCCCCCAAGAGGCCCCCAAGACGCCCCAAGAGCTCCAAGAGGCCCCCAACAGGCCCAACGAGGAGCCCGAACGACTCAGACCAGGACGAGAGACCCCAACGACTCACACCACGAGGAGCCCGAACGAGTCACACCACAAGGAAGGACCCGAACGACTCACACCAAGACGAGGCGCCCGAACGACTCACACCACGAGGAGCCCGAACGACTCACACCACGAGGAGCCCGAACGACTCACACCAGGACGAGGGCCCCGAACGACTCACACCACGAGGAGCCCGAACGACTCACACCAGGAGGAGGAGCCCGAACGACTCACACCAGGACGAAGGGCCCGAACAACTCACACCACGAGAAGCCCGAACGACTCACGCCAGGACGAAGAGCCCGAACGACTCAAACCACGACGAAGAGCCCGAACGACTCACACCAGGAAGAAAGGCCCGAACGACTCACACCAGGACGAGAGGCCCGGAGATATGCGGGGGCAGGCGGAAACACGCCTGAAAAACACGACTGTCAGCATGCTTCGCAAGAGTTGTTGTTTTGAGATGGGCTGGTGGGGATACGCGAAGCGTGAAGAATTCATGGATTTCCCATACGTTTTTGGAAGATGTTGGCGTTCTTGCCTCTTCCGCTTCCCGACGCGCCAAGACGGCCCAAGAGGCCCCCAAAATCGCCCCGAGACGGCCCAAGAGGCCCCCAAGAGGGTCCCCCAACGGCCGAAGAGGGCCCCAAGACGGCCCAAGACGCCTCCAAGACGGCCCAAGAGGCCCCCAAAACGGCTCCAGGAGAGTGCCCAGACGGGGGACCCGAACGGACATTTCGAGCTCTCAGCCCCAAGAGGCCCCCAAGATGCCCCGAAGCAGCCCCAAGAGGCCCCAAGTGGCTCCCAAGGGGCCCCCAAACTGCCCCAAGACAACCCAGGAGAGCCCAAAATTGCCCAGGAGGCCTCCAAGAGTGCCCCGAGACGGCACAAGAGGAGCCCTGGACGGCCCATGACGGCCTCAAGAGAGCCCCAGGCTGTCCCCAGAAAGCCTCTGGCTACTCTACTCTGGTCTATTACACTCGATTCGACTCTACTCTATTCTACCCGAGACTCTTACCTCATCTACCCTTCCCTACTCTCCTATACTCTGCCCTACTCCACACTGCCCTCCCCCTCCCTACCCTTCTCTACGATGCTCGTATCTACGCTGCTCATGCTCAACTCCACTCTGGCCCTACTCGAGTCTACTTTGGTACACTCGCCTCTCCTCTACTCTGCCACTCTCGATTGTATCCGAATATAATTTACCAGCTACCATACTCGACTCGAATCTAATATACTTTACTCCAACCTACCCTAGCCTATTTGATTATACTCTACTATATTATACCCCACTCTACTCTACTCTACTCTACTATACTTTACCCTCCAGCACTCTACTCTAATAGACTATACTCTGCTCTACTGGATTCTACTCTACCCTACTCTTCTCTACTCTTCTCTACGCTACTCTGCTCCTGCTCTACTCCTACTCCTACTCCTACTCTGCTCTACTCTACTCTCCGCCACCGTGCCCTTGAGGCACGAGTTGGAGTGTCCTCAGGCTCCTTGTTGGATCCCATGGAGCCCCAGTCCTCAATCGTGAGAATTATTCCAGGGGCCTAGAATTAAAATTGCCGACTCCCCTGGGGCGCCCCGCGTGATCCCTGAGGCGCGTCGCGGCGTCTCGCCCGACTTCTTCGGCCCGAAGAGGGCCTCTAGAGGGCCCCAAGACGGTCCAAGAGGGCCCCGAGTCTCTGAAAGATCGTTCCAAGACACCCACGACGGCCTCAAGACTGCTCAAAGATGGCCTCAAGACGCCCCCTCAGGCCTCCGAGAGGCTTCCCAAGAGGGCCTCCAGAGGCAAGAATCATGGATATGTATTCAGGTTGTTGAAGAATGTTAGCTTTATCGTCTGTTCTGCTTTGCGACGTTCCAAAACAGCTGAAGAGGCCACCATGATCGCCCCAAGACGGCCCAAGAGGCCTCCAAGAGGGCCACAAAACGGCCCCAGAGGGCCCCAAGACGGCCCAAGAGGCCTACGGCCCAAGAGGCCCCCAAGGCAGCTCCAAGAGGCAGCCCAGACGGGGGACCCGACCTCGGCCCCGAAAGGCCCTCAGGAGGCCCCAAGAGGCCCCCAAGAGGCCCGAAAGAGGCCCCGAGAGGCCCCACGAACCCCCCTGGAGGCCCCAAGAGGGCCTCAAGAGGCTCCGAACAGACCCGTAAGAGGCCCCCAAGAGTCCCCCAAAACTGTCCCCGAGAGGCCCCAAAACTGTCCCCGAGGGGCCCCCCAGAGGCCCCAAAAACTATCCCCAAGAGGCCCCCAAGAGCGCTCCAAAGAGACCCCAAGAAGCATTCCTGATGACTCTGGCCCACAATTCAAGTACTGTGGCGGGCTGGGCCGTCGGCCATTAGATACTCTCCTCTACCCTACTCTACTCTGCTCTACTCTACCCGACTCTACTCTAACTACCTACCCAGCGCTAGTTCACAATCCACCCTATTCCACTCGATTTACCTCTACTCTACCCTATTCCACTCTGCACTACCCTACCCTACCTACCCTAACCTACTCTACTCTACTCCACTCTACTTCACTCTGCTCGACCCTACTCTACTCTACGCTACTCCTATTCCTACTTATATTCCTACTACTCTACTCTACCCGACTCTGCTCTAAATCAACTCTACTCTACGATTCGCCAAACAGTGCTTGCACTTAGGGGTTCTTACTTCTGCTTTGGAGAACTGGGCCGGTCTGCCGGTCTGGCAGCTATGTTGACGCCGTCGCCGCCCCGTCGCCGCCTCGTCGCCGCCCGTCGTCTGGGCCTGTCAGCCGGTCTGGCGGCTATGTTGCCGCCGTCGCCGCCCCGTCGCGGACTCGCCGCCGCAAGTCGTCAGGGCTTGTCTGCCGATCTGGCGGCTATGTTGCCGCTGTCGCCGCCTCGTGGCCGCCATATGGATTGCTCCACATAGATTCTCTTAAGAAAGGAGATGATACCGCCCCCACACCCTGAATCATCGGCTCGCCTTTTTGGATTGCAATGTACATGTGAATTCGCCTCATCGCCTATCATTTCCAATATGAAACTATATCATCATCGCAAGGCCGGTCTCGACTGGCCCCATTATCCTTTGCAGAAAATTCCGTTACCCTTTCCTACACCTTAGAGAACCCTCTAGCGAAACGCGATCATGGAATTACCGTGACTTCTCGCTCCTCTGAGGGAGCAGAAGGAACAGGCGCAAGAAGAGGGAGAGGAGAAGGAGCGGGAGGGAACACGCCGCTTGAACGAGGGGAGAGTAAGGGGGGCCAGCGAAGGGGGGAAAGCATCGAGCTGGAATCGGCGATACATCGCCGATAGATCGACAATAGGCCCCCGATAACCAACACACACGCTCCTGGACAGGCTGGGTTACTTGGCCCCTATCGGCGATCAGTGGGCGACTGGGGGTCGATGAACCCCACCCTGAGCGGGAGGGATCACGCCGCTTGAATGAGGGGGAACGTCAGGGGGGCCAGCGAAGGGGGGGAAACCTCTAGCTGGAGCTGGAACCGACGACACATCGCCGACAGATCGGCGACAGGCCCACGATAGCGAATCCACACGCTCTGGGGCGGGGTGGGCAGTCGGACCCTTGTCAGCGATGCATGGGCGATCGGGGGTCGATGCATTGGCCCCTGACTGAGCCTATCCTGACGGGCCAATCATCCACCACCACTACCATAGGTAGGACAGGGAGGAGTTGAGGAGGAGGAGGAGGAGGAGGAGGCGGAGGAGGAGGAGGAGGAAAAGGAGGAGGAGGACCTCCCCATCCTCCCTTCTCCCACGTCCTGCCTATGGCAAGGGTGGAGAATTCGCCCATCATATCCCCTAACGTTGCCCCCTGGCTGCCAGGTCATATCTCCGCTCCCCAACGGCCGCTCGGGACGATCCGGGCATCCGGAACGCGCTCGGCGAGTCGCAGCTGCTGGACGGCATGCCGAGGCAGGAGAAACGCCAGACCCGACGAACACGTCCGAAAACCTACTCTTCTCTTCCGCCCTTTCCTCCTCCGAGGCAGAAGAACTTAGAAAAGCGCCCACGAGGACGCCCGAAAGTCTCGAACTCCAGGGAGAGGAGGGGGGGGAGGAGGGAGGGGTATCACGCCGCCCGGAGACCGGGGCCCTCGTCTCCTGCACCTGGCAGTGGTGCACCCGCAGGTGGGAGGGCACGAACACCTGCCCCTTCGTGGGCGGCAGCACCTCCGACAGCACCCGCAGCAGGGTGCCCTTGCCGTGGCCTGTCGGATCGGACGAGGCGGGGCTCGCGAGGTCTTGCGCCGGGGCTCGCCCGCAGCAGTGTCTGCCGTGCTCGTTTGTCCATCGTTCATTCCATCGTTTTGTCCTCGCTCCGCCTTCGCTACAAGACGAAATCAAAATGAAAACGGTTTACGAACTCGCCAAAGCACCGCTTAGATAGGGCCCTGTCCCGCGCTGAAAACCGACCCGATGTGCCGCGGCCCCCCCTCCTAGGGTCGCAGGGTCGGTGGGGGGGATGGAAAAGGGCCAAGGCCAAATCTCTGACGATGTGAATTTTTCCATTCTGACATTTTTCCCCGATTTCGGCCCACGGGGGCCGCCTTCGGGAACTGGGACCGACCAGACTGGATCGCAGGGACGATGGGGCCGAACGGTCTTGCACCGTCCCTGGGTGCGTGGCTGATGTGGGATTCACCGGCGCGGATTATACTTAATCGTTGTTGTTGCTGCTGTTGTTGACCGAAGCATAAGTATTGTTGATTCCTTTTCTCTGGTGACCGGTGCGTTTTTTATTGAAGTGTTTCCCCTGGGGCTCACACCCTATTTTTATCAAGAATCACTAGACTCAAACTGGGTTGTTGGCCCCCGGATTGCAACAACAACGGCTCCCGCCTGAGAGTTCCTCATAATTTAGCCAGGACCCCCGCTCGGCCTCCTCGCTGGCCTTCGTGGCACCGTTGCAGCCCTCCGTGGCCCCTCGCTGCCCTTCGTGGCACCATTGCAACCCTCCGTGGCCCCCTCGCTGCCCTTCGTGGCCCCGTTGCAGCCCTTCGTGGCCCCCTCGCTGCCCTTCGTGGCCCCGTTGCAACCCTCCGTGGCCCCCTCGCTGCCCTTCGTGGCCCCGTTGCACCCCTTCGTGGCCCCCTCGCTGCCCTTCGTGGCCCCGTTGCAGCCCTCCGTGGCCTCCTCGCTGCCCTTCGTGGCCCCGATGCAGCCCTTCGTGGCCCCCTCGCTGCCCTTCGTGGCCCCGTCGCAACCCTCCGTGGCCCCCTCGCTGCCCTTCGTGGCCCCGTTGCAGCCCTTCGTGGCCCCCTCGCTGCCCTTCGTGGCCCCGTTGCAGCCCTCCGTGGCCCCCTCGCTGCCCTTCGTGGCCCCATGTATGTATACCCTTTGTGGCCCCCGCCCGTTCGCGCCCGTCGTGGCCCCATACGCGTTCACTTCGCGGCCCCGCCGTCGCCCTTCGCGGCCCCCTCGCTGCCCTTCGTGGCCCCGTTGCTGCCCTCAGTGGCCCGGTCCTCGCCCTCTGCGGCCCAATATACGCATGCCCTTCGTGGCCCCCGCTCGTTCGCGCCCGCCGTGGCCCCATATGCATGCCCTTCGCGGCCCCACCGCCGCCCTTTGCGGCCCCCATCGCTGTCCTACGTGGCCCTGTTGTTACCTTCAATGGCCCCGTCGTTGCCATCTGTGGCCCCGCATTATCTGCCCTTCGTGACCCCCGCGTGTTCGCGCCGTTCGTGGCCCCATACGCATGTCCTTCGTGGCCCTGCTGTCGCCCTTCGCAGCCCCCTTCCTGCCCTTCGTGGCCCCGCCGTCGTTCTCGCTCTCGCTCTCGCTCTGGCTCTCGCTCGTCGTCGTCGTCGTCGTCGCCGTCGCCGTCGGTCCCCTGTCCGTCCTTCTTGGGGTCGGGCTGCCGCCGATCTGCGCTGCCGCTGGCCAAGCCGACGGTCCGCGGCCGCCCCGCCGCTTGCTGGGGACCGGCCTGCAGGGAAGAAAGATATACCCCCCAAAAGGGGCACGATCGAAGACGAAGAGGGCGGGCATCGATTGGGGAAATACACGTTGAATGACACTCGAGCAAATAAGACCGAACAGTCTTAAAATGATTGTTGGTGTTGCTGTTGATGATGTTGTGTCGCTGATGCTGTTGTTGTTGGTGGTGGTGTGTGTTGTTGTGGTTGCTGTAACTGTCATTGCTGTTTGAACAGGGAAGATTGGTTTCGTCGTTCACTTCCAAGTGGAGCGCAGCGACACGCGGGGCATTTGATCGCAAACATGGAAAGGGAGAGTTAGCGAATCAGCTCACGCACCTGATTTTCCAAGCGCCGCGCCGGAGGGACCAGCGCATCGAGGCAAGCGCCTGGCGGCAGGGCCGAAACCAGCTGCATAAAGCAGGTTTCGTAGCCCCCCCCCCCGTTTCCCTACGGTAGAGAGAAACCATCGACGGGCACTCCCCTCCCCAAGACTTTAAAGCTGGCACGCGCGGGGAAGACTGCAGTCGAAGTACAGCTCATCAGAGCCACCGCCAGCTTGGATTATTGGAGGGAAGGGGTGGTCATTGACAGATGAATGGCATAATGGAGGCGGCTGGGGGTCTGAACTGCGTGGGACCCCAGAAACTCGGTCAGAAGGGAGATTAAATCCAAATCCGCCTAGAACCGGTCCCCAGATCCCTCCCAGGGTCCATCTGGTTCAGTCTTTCATCCCGGATCCGTCTCTGACGGCCCTGGAGCCCAGCCCTGGGTCCCGAAAACGGCCCCTGGAGGCAAAAAAATGCAGAAACCCTTCCCGAACCCAGATCCTCGACCCCAGCTGGTTCCACGGGAGAGGGGGTGGTCATTGACAGATGAATCGTGAGTACTCGCTCCATCTTTTCCGAGGCCAGTCGGCGTGTGGGAGACGCTATTCCGTTTGACTCACCGTCGTCGTCGTCGTCATCGTCGTCGTCGTCGTGATCGTCGTCGTCGTCGTGGCGTAGGTGCTTGATGATTTCCGACCCGAGCCTGGGGGGCCGCTGACACCGATGAGCGTCCCCTGCTGGACCTGGAGGGGCAAAAGTCTGGACGAGCACATACTCTTTCGGAGCCCCGAGCAGGTTTCGTGCTTCCCTCCTCATCCTCCTCGCCCCTCATCCCTCGCACCCCTCCTGTTCCCTCGCGCCCCTCCTCCTCCTCCTCCTCCTCCCTCGCGCCCCTCCTCCCTCGCTCTTCGCCCTCCTCCCTTGCGCCCTTCTTCCCTCATACCCCTCCTCCCTCCTCCTCCCTCGCGCCCTTCCTCCTCGCCCCTCATCCCTCGCTTCCCTCCTCCCTCGCTCCTCGTTCTCCTCGCTCCTCTTCCCTCGCCGTCACCTCCCCCTCCCATGTCCTTCCATCCCTCCTCCATCACCCATCCTCCTCGTCCTCCTCTCCCTGGCGGAGCACACGAGGGGCTTCTTAGAAGGCCTCCAGGCTTCCGAGAAGCCTTCTTGGATGCCTCCAGGCCCGTCTGAGAAGGCCCCTGTCTCCTATGAAGCGCGCCGCAGTCTTAGAAGGCCACCTCCCTCGCGCCACCCCCTCGTGCGCGCCGCCAGTCTGCCTCCCTCCCTCCCTCCCTCCCTCGCCCCCTCCTCTCGCCATCGCTCGGACGTCCATTCCCTGTGTTTTTTTCGGTTTCGTGCGTGGTTTTTTCGCCAAATGATCAAGGATGCTCCTCGATTGTCCTCGCCGAAGAAAAAATACACACGTCCGAGCGATGCCCCCTCCTCCGTCCTCATGCTTCCTCCTCCCTTTCACGATCCTCCACACCAGCACAAACTTTGCGAGGTCTGCGCGGACCTCCTGGGCCGGCACTGGGACCGCCACGGCGGCGCCTCGGGCGCTGCCCCTGGCGCGCTCCGCGCGCCAGGGAGGGGGGTCCAGCGCCGATCCAGGACATCCACGCGAAGCTCCAGAAAATCATGCTGCGCAGCTGTCCTCTTCGAGACGAGCGCCCCCCGCTGGACCTCCAGGTTGACCTGCCGGAGAACCCGGTAATCTGAGCTTTCCGCCGTGTCAGCCACGCTGCCGGGGGCTCTGGGGCCCAGCTTCTGCCTCAGGGTCACCTTGTACTCGAACTCCACGTCTGTCAGTATAATGGGCATGACGTCCTCGGCGTTCGCCTTCCCGCTCACCACGTCTTCGTGTTTCTGAGCCATGGCCAGTCGTTCGGGCCAGAGCTTTCGGCTCTTGTCCATGGTCGCCAGGCGCTGGTCCAGATCCATGGGCAGGTTCATGTACTGCACAAGGAGCCATAAGGCTGGGTAGCAGGACTGCATAGACAGAAAAGCCTTGTACATCCGACCATACTGCGCACTGGCCCCTCGAAGGCCGGCCATCGTCGATGTGAAGACGCCGAGCGTTATTTCACCATGGATATGAAGATTGCCTGCCACGATGATGACGAAGAACTCCACCAGCTCCTGAGCCCAACCAAAAAAGGCCATGTCGTTCGCTGTCCTCGCCCCTTGGTCAACCAGATACTTGTTAACCAAATTGATCTTGTTCAAGACCTCCTTGATAACCAATGGCCTGGCCCAACAGTCGGCCACGATACGGTAGTCGTCGTTCACCGCATCCATGTAACTCATGAGCTCGACCTTCGCGTCCTCGGTTTCCTCACGAACCTGAGTGCTCTTTTTGGTGCGTATAAGCATATAAACATACGCGAGGATGGGAACCGCCGCGAACAAGGCAACGAAATAGAAGAGCTGACCCCCATCTCCTTCCGCGATGCTCTTCACCGCGTAAATCAAGAAGTAGAGAAACAGCATAATGACTCTACCCATTGCCGCAGCGAGTTCGAAGAACTTCATGTAGCCGTCCGAGACAAGTTTAAACACGTGTTGCGAGAACGTCTGCTTAAATTCCATGGAGTTGACTTCGTCCCGCGTAGCCTCCTCATAATATAAACATCTCATCATCAGGTCCTTGAGCATCTCCTTGCGGATCATGCCACCTACCTTCCAGAATTGCTTCCTGTATGTGAAGAGGTGCGTGAATGCGTACGGTGCGGTCAGAAGGATGGCCAAGAACAAGATTCCCTCAGAATTATGAAAATCGTTGTCCTCCAACGACAGCGCGTTGATGAGACGCTTGCCAACCTCCACCTGACCGATAAATATCACATTGGCAATCTGATCCCCCATTAGGAGCCAGCGCGCACCGGGCGTGTTGATGCTGTAGCAGAGCTTCGCGAACTCCTTCAGCATCCTGAAATCCTCTGGGCCCCTGGAGCCGGCCGGCTGAGAAGGCGTGCATGGAACACATCCCCTCGAATTCAAAATCCTCACTGTGGACAGAACCATCCTGTCATGTCTCCGTCCTCCGCATTCCCTCCTTCTTCGTCTCTCTTTCTCCCTTCAGACTTCGTCTCTCTCCTCTTTTCTCGTTCACCCACCCTCATGATTCTTTCCTCTGCCCTATGCCGCGTTCCCACCCCTCCTGTCTTGGGCTCCCTTTTTGAATAGAGAACGGTGGTCTCCGTCCTCCTTCCTCCTCCGCCGCTTCCTCGCGGCTCCCGGGGGGGGGGCTGCGACGTGCAGACCTCTCACCACTCTCGCGGGCTCCCGGCGGGCACGGCACGCAGACCCAGCCGAGAGCCCGCGGCTCCCTGAGGGGGGGGGGGGGCGCGGAGTGCGCCACGGTCACCACTTCCGTGGGCTCCCGAGGGGCACGGCGGAGGGGGGGGGCCTCGCAGACCCAGCCGAGACCCTGTGGCTGCCTGGGGGGCTGGGGAGTGCAAAACCATCACCACTTCCGCGGGCCCCCGAGGGGCACGGCGGAAGGGGGGGGGGGGGGCACGCAGACCCAGCCGACACCTCGCGGCTCCCTGGGGGCTGCGGAGTGCGAAGATGTCGCCACCTTCGCGAGCTCCTGGGAGGTCCAGCGGAGTTGGGGGCCACGCAGACCCAGCGGAGACCTTCAACACGTTCGTTCGTGTGCGGCGGTCCTTGGTATGGGAAGGCCTGGGTGCGTCGCCGGGTACTTTCCTCCCCTATGTGACTCAAACGCGTAGCTCACGGTGCTCTCGCGATGTCTTCCACCCAGGAAGCCGTTACCACTCTCAGCCCCTCCGAAGTCGATCCAGCATGATGGGCCCATTTCCACAACCACTACCATAGGTATGAGAGGGAGGAGGAGGAGGAGGAGGAGGAGGAGGAGGAGGAGGAGGAGGAGGAGGAGGAGGAGAAGGAGCAGACTGACGAGAAGGAGGAGGAGGAGGAGGACCTCCCCATCCTCCCTTCTCCCCCGTCATACCTATGGTAGCGGTCGTGGAAAACTTGCCCATCACAGCACCGCAGGAGAGCCTCCAGACTGCCGAAGCCTTGGTTCTCTTCAAATTCGTATCAAGACTGCGGCACCTCTACAACCATCCGTCCCTGGCGCGGGCTGGTCCTGGAGAAGCATCGCTCGCTCCATGGCTATAGGCATCCGCGCAGCCATACTGGTTTGAGCCTAGCCTGGCTTGGACTTTACATTGCCATCGCTCGGACGTCCCTTCACTGTGCATGTTTCGGTTTCGTGCGTGGCTTCTCTTTGGCTCGATGATCCAGGATGCTCCTCGATGGTCCTCGGGGGGCAGCAAGTGCACACGACCGAGCGATGCCAATGGGCCCTCTGGAGGCCTTCGAATGTCCCCAGACGCCCCAGGAGAGCCTCGGACATCTGCCAGATCTAGGACTTGCCCGCCGCGAAGCGTGAAGAATCGTTGCCTGCCTTCCACGAATCGCACGACGGGTCAGCCTTAATCTCCCATTCAAACAGCGGCGACGGGAACACATCGTCGTCGATGATCTTCACCCTTGTCCTGTTGAGGTATGCGCCGACCTCGCAGTTTTTTACAGGTTCAAGGACGAAGGAGAGCTCCACCACGGAATCGAACATCTTCTCCTCAATGAGCCTGATCGTGAATGACTTCGTGGTTTCGTTCGGCCCGAACTCTAGGGTGCCGCTGCACTTCTCGAACTTCACCCCCTCGAGCGACTTGTCCAGCGCGTCGTACGAGACCACGCAGGTTTCCTGCATGGCACCGATCCGCATCACTTCGATCGTCTTGGTGTTGCCCTCGTTGCTGTACATGATCTGAGACGAAAACTGCACTACTGGTAAAGGACTCGCCATGGCTGCAAGCCTCTCCTCCCTTCGGCCACCGCAAAATGCTCGAAAGAGGCTGCACAGCTCCGGGATTTACTGCCCCGGTGCAGTTGCTCGAGACACGTGGCGGCGGCGGCGATTACGGCTGCGGTCATGACGGTGTCCGCAACGCATGCAAAGACGACATTGAGCCCGCACTGATGTCGACAAGTGGCGAAGCAAGGCGGCCATCGCATTCGGCATGCTGGTTGCTACGGCGAAGAGTAAACTATGCTCGTTGGGAAACTCTGACATGTGCCAGAAGGCGCGGAAGATGGCTTCCGTGTTCATGCCACGATCGTGGCTACGGCGTCGAGGATTCGAATGTGGGCCTCCTCCTCCTCCTGCTCCTCCGCCTCCTCCTCCTCTCCATAGATTGCACCACATGGCGTACACCTCATAGATTGCACCGCATAGCTTGCACCACATAGCATGCAACACAAAGCATGCAACCCATTTGTTGCACCACATACATTGCACATCCAGGGTGCAAGCACTCACTATTTGGGGTCCACGCTGGCAAACATGCATTCCCATCTCCCTGGGGGGGGGGGCGCGGACGAACATGGCGCGCCAGGAGGCGCTGGCGCAACCAATTGCGACTTGCTTTTTCCCTGGCGAACAGCACAAGCCCTGCTTCATCTTCGGAACAACCCGATACGTTGGCACCAAGATACGCCACGATATCACATGAACTGACCGTCATGGCTTTGCAGCTGCCGACTCAAAGCGCATCCAACCGAGGTCGCCCACGGTTCACCATCATGACCACGCCGTGACAATCATCGTTCGGCACCACGCCGAGGGGAGAAGCGAGAGGGGGCAAGCCTTCACAAAGGCGACGGAAAGTCTCAAAAGCGCTCCCGCCTTCCGAGAAGACATTTCTGCCTTGGGAGAAGGTTAGAAAAGCTCCTCAAAGGCGGGAGGCCTTCTGAGCCTTCTGAGAAGGCCAGCCCCCCATGCCTTGCCCCCCTGGGCGCGCCGCCGAATCATGAAGCCACCGTGCCAACTGATAGTACACGCCAGCGCAACGCCAACCACAAATACACTCCAGCGGGTTGTGAATGCGTGAAAGGCTCGGAGGCAAGCCGACAAAAACCAGCAGAAGCTGGGGCGGCGCGGCCGTCCCCGTTGAACCGGCGCGGAAGGGGGTAGACGTATACCTCGCGCTCCGGGCGGGCAGGCGATGGAAGATCATACAGTCGACCCGTGTCATAAGGATGCGCGGTAAGGGTGCCACGGCCCTGGAAGGCCACGTCGGCACTTTGCGGGTGGGGCGCGGCCAGCGAGAGCGGTCGAGGATGGGCCGAAGGGCAAGGATGCAGGCGTAACCTTGGAGAGTTGCTCGTCCTTGCTCTGCGGGTTGACCGTAGGCTGTCGTCCGATATACGCGTCAGTCAGCCAAACAAGGCCGGTTGGCGGCGCGCACAAGATGGTGGCGCGAGGGAGGTGACCTTCTGAGAAAGCGGGCTGCTTCTGAGAAGGCGGGGGCCTTCTCAGAAGCCCTCCCGGCTGCTGAGAAGCCTTCTTAGACGGCTCCACGCCCTTCAGAGAAGGCCCCCGCCTTCTGAGAAGCGCCCCGCCGTCTCAGAAAGCCCCCACCTCGCGCCACATATCGATTGTGAAATGAGCGGTGGTCCAGGAAGGTCCCTGTTGCTTCCAGCCTAGGCAACACCCGATATGTCACAGATGGGGATTCTTCGGAGTTCGGACGGCTCCACGCCCTTCAGAGAAGGCCCCCGCCTTCTGAGAAGCGCCCCGCCGTCTCAGAAAGCCCCCACCTCGCGCCACATATCGATTGTGAAATGAGCGGTGGTCCAGGAAGGTCCCTGTTGCTTCCAGCCTAGGCAACACCCGATATGTCACAGATGGGGATTCTTCGGAGTTCGGACGTGGTGGGGATCACTGCGAAGACCGATGACTGGTTGGGCCTCGTCCATGTCCACTGCGTGTCAAAGCGCCCCAGAGGCTTCCCCAAAAAGTCCCATGAGACCCATGCAAAGACCCCAGGAAGCACCCAAGACTTCCAGAGAGGCTCCAGGGACGGCTGATGAGGGCTCAAGACGCACACAATCAGGCCTGCGCTGGAACGAATGGCGAAATCGGATCGGATCGGAAGCGGTTCAGATTGCCAGCGGATCGTTGCAAATCGAATCCAACTCGGATCGCCGAGCCCGGCTCCGGCTGGTCACAGCCGATGCCAATCAATCAAACCGAATCAAATCCTATCGGAATCGCGGCCCCAGCCAGCGAATCAAATCGCATCTAACCGGGTCGCACGCGGCCCCGACAGAAGGCCCCCAGAAGGCCCCCAAGGAGGATCACAGAAGAGCGGCAGGAGGACCTGCAAGAGAGACGGCACGCTGGCTTTTCTCACGGCGTGGGACCTGGGCCTGCTCCTCCCGCTGATCCTTCTTCGCCCCCCCCCCCCTCTCCCCCTCATTATCCTCGTCTCCAC